CTACCACTCATGCCACTTGTTTTCCGACCACTCAACAAACGTCTTCACGCCTTCAATTCCTGATTTGAAATCCGAATTCTTATCCTTAGCGGGTTGACCACGTGATGTTTTTATAACAGGTCGAACATGTAATGGAAGAACAGGTGAAGGCTCGAATGGTCATTCGGGTCCAGCATATGTTTTATTTTCATCTCGTTTAAAGTAATAGACCGGAGAAGCCCAATGCGGAGAAGTGCAATACTCTTTCCACTTGAACACAAGATTGTCATCCTCCATATAAAACCTAAATAAATGTGGCTTTGTATGACCGGTCAGTCTATTGACCAGGAAGGGCTTAACATCTTCCCGCCAGTCAGCAATTTCATCCATGAATGTGCACAAAGGACGCTCGTTTTAGGAACTGGAAACGAGTTTGAACAGGTTGAGCATGGTATAAGCATCGTGCATTTTCAGTTTGCGAGAGAAATGACTGAAAGTGGCATCAACGTCCGTATGTGTATGTCCTACCAACATAAAACCGAATTCGACTTCTTTGAAGAAGCCAAATTTCACCAAAGCTGCGGCCAAAGACAAAACGTATTTGTTTTTGTTTTCTCTCCAGCAGTTGTCGGCTTGTATCCTCAATTTAGGAGGTAAGTCGCTTGTCGCTTGTATGTCACGCAGAACTTTCATAACGGATGACACCACAGCATTGAAATCATGTGGATGGCAAGGGTACCATGTGTGAACATGCGCTGATGGTGAACGACCGTGTGCGATAATAGCTGTTAAATTTGTTTTCATCATTGGAATATTCGCGAATGCCTTCGACTTGTTTTTTCTGCCGAAGTGTGGAATACTCATCTTGCTTTGGTCCATAACGTCAATAATGATGCATAAACTGTTGAAACCTGGTCTCTTCGACTCATCCTTCCACACCTCATAAGCAGCACAGTGTTGGAGCTGCAAGTCCAAGTGTTTGTCGAGTTCCGAAACGAAATAATCACGCACACATATGAACTTCGCAAAATTGATAGATTCTTTGAACTCAATACACTTCTCGTATTTCGCAAAGTTTTGATCAACTTCATGGAATTTCACATGCCAGAAGTGTGTTCTCCACATGTTATAGAAAACTTGGAGAGAAACAGAAGGGACACCCAGTTTGTCAAATGTCAACCTTGTTATAGCAAGCAGGCAATCTCAAAACCACTCGTGATTCTCAATCTTTGATCCTCATGTCATTGGGCATGGAATCTTCATTGCCACGCACAAAGGAGCTTAGTTTGCCGAACATCGTCACATATGTTGCAGATTTGCGTCTGAGTCCAGTGCTGCCATGCTCCGGCATAATGTAACCTTTTAACAAAGTCACCCTCTTTTTCAAAAATGTATTCCTGCACACACCTAGTGTGAAACACCATGCACTAATGCACACCTTTCTTTTTCCAACAATAGGTTGCACAATCTCTTTCTCATCTTCCACGAAGGTGAACCACTTTAAAGATTCAACCCACCATGCATCTCTACTTTTGTGATCCTTACAGTAATATGCACTCCGGACAGCTTTGATGTCTTCCATGGTCATGCGAGCGCAACAATCTTGTTTACAACAAACTTGTCCGCGCACACTCGCTAGTGCTTTTTTGGTGAGCTTTCTGTGAACTGTTTGCAAAAGCTTCCTAGACCGAGGCATTCTGACACGGAAAGTATAAGGACGTTTTTCCGACGATAAACGTTTGGGGAAAATGTCATCAAAATTAGAGATGACATCAGAACTCTCCATACCGTTGCGACAGTAGTGGTCAGTGTCATCATCATCGCAAGGTTGTGGATGATCATTTTTGTCTGGAGAACTGTTGGCGTCAGATGACATCGAAGCACCAGATTCCGAACCATCTTCATCACTCTCGCCAAATAGAAGGTCTGTGCCCTCGAAATCTCGTAGCGAACTTCTCGGCACCCACATGATACGATCTACATCGAATGTGTTCCTGTCACCGGAGGCGGCCCTACCCTGACCTTCCGAACCTTCTGCATCAGAGGTTTTCACTGGCCCGCCCAAGACTGGAGATCCACTTTCGCATGTGGTTTCTTCACACGCAGTCATCCGGGACCTTTTATGATCAGGAGATTCTGAAGTTATTTGAACGTTTTGCGAAAACATTGGCAGGTCCATGGGAGGAAGCTCATCACTAGGCAGTATATTAGATGTCACACGGTCCATGCTTTCCAAAGTTCTGCTGGCAGCTTGCCGCGGTGCATGCACACCACAAGCCATTTAAAACGTTTCTGCGATGACAAAACAGTGGACCACTGACACAAGACATACATATCAGTAACAAATCCGCAGCTAGATGGATCACATGCGGTATATGTAGAGTGCAACACATGTGGTTCAGCGCCACCACTGCTAGCCATACACTGCCGATGTAAGGCCCGTGAATGCGGAAAAAAGTACAGTCTTCAATAGAAGCGATGCACGAGAGACACGGCGACTAGCTGTTGTGTTGAACGCGATGATCTCCCTCCGCGGTCATGCCCAACACGACGGCGCATCATCCCATTGCACAACACGACAGGCGCACACGGCGAGATCCACTGTCACCGTGCCGTACATTTCTGCCCCACACCATATTGCTTGGTGGCCATCCAGTCGTTGAATGAACCATTCTGCAACACATGAAATACGAAAGCAGTAAAAGGCAAGTCAATGATATATAGTTTAAATATATATGAATGAAAGCTCAATGACAAGTAAATGGTACACCAACACGCACGAAATGAG